TGTTTTTTCTCACCTTTTATATGTTTTGAATAACGCATTCAACAAAGCTTCTTACTAACTGTTAGGAATTTAAAAAATACATTGAGGATGCTGAAAAATAAGGGAGGGCTTCAGGTTTCTGATAATATTGCTCCAACTACGTTGAACTAAGTGATTATTTACTATACCTTTCGAATGCACTTTTAAGAATGCTTTAGCAGTACAATGAAAAATTCTTGCTAAAGGTCACTGAAGATAACAAACAGTTTGCAATTTTTATTAACAAAACTTTGCCTGCTCTTTATCTTTCGCATTGACATCAGCTTTTCTTTCCACTAAAAGCTTAACGACATCAACTTGACCATTTGCCGATGCGATATGCAGTGGTGTTCTCTAAAGCCAACCGTAAAATTAATATTAGCCTTCCACAAAGTTTTTCTCATTTTTCTTATACTTGAGAAATCTCTTATAAATTTCTTCAAATTGAATGTTGAACATTCTTTTACCCGTCGTTGAACAGCGACTCCGTCTATCTGTTGCAGAAGCACATTTGTTGTTGGCTTATTTTTTTATTCAAAAAGTGCTTCAAATTAGTTGAACCGGTGAAAACAGGTTTTTTAATGTGTTTACGTGTGTATTTTCTGTTTTACATGCTAGTTTTTCCACTTTTTTTTCAACTTACTAATCAGTTGCGTCTATTGAGCAACAAATTTGAGAAAGTTTCTTCGTTAACTTCTGGAAAATCACAAAAATACATTGAAGTTTTTGGTAAATATAGTAAGGTAGAAAAATTCTGATAACGTTTTTTTTTTCTGACTACGTTTGACCAAGTGACTGTCCGCCAAGTTTTTGGAATGTAACTTTTGAAAACTTTCAGCAGCAAAAAAAATCTTCTTGGGGACCACTGAAGATAACAAACAGTTGACAAATTTTATTAAAGAAACTTTGCCTGCTCTTTATCTGTCGCTTTGACATCTGCTTTGCTTTCCACCAAAAACCTGACGACATCGAGACGACCATTTGCACATGCGATATGCAATGGTGTTATCTAAAGACAGCCGTTAAAACAATATTGGCCTTCAGTTTCTACAGCTTTTTAAATTATTCGTATACTTCAGTAATTTTTTTTGATCAATAAAGTGACGGAAAGTAATATCATTATTATGCTTTAGCCTCTCTTTTAGCCAATGAATCAAAACTATTATATAGAAAATTAGACGACATAGTTTTTGCACCGGGTTAACAAGCGTTTTTCGGCGTAATCTTACTTAGCTTTCTGAAAATGCATCTCTGGCTTCTGATCAAAAGCGTCTCATAACAACAAGAGAGTCATCAAAACTTTAATGTCTTATTCAAATTCAACAGTTTGATCGCTGGGATTATAATTTCATTCTCAAGAAAGTGGTCTCTGTTTCTGTTTTACAAGTAGTGATTTTCATATGTAAAAATAGTTCGGTCTTTGAAAAGCTCTGAACATATGAAACGCCAATGATTTTTGCTAAAAGCAGAGGTATAAGGCAGAAACAGCAGCTGATTCTTAGGCGCAAAGTTTTATGAATTTATATATAGTTCTGGCTAGAATGACAAGGTTCAAATCACCGGAGCTCTTGTCGATTGACGGCCCCATATATGTATTTGAGGAGGGGCCTTGAAAGAGATGCCTGATCAGTAGCAGAAGGGTAGCAGCATCTCGTCAAACATGCAACATGTAGCCTTCTTCAATATTAGAATCACGGTTACGGATTGTAAACCAGAAACTGTAGCATGAAAGCTGGAAGCAATACAGCATCACAGGGTTGGCGGATCCAAAGCCTGAACCTGCAGCACGAAAAGCGGAGCGCTACCACTGCACCACAATACCATAAGCGAGCATTTTAACATATACATAAACGTGTAAAAAAGCGAGTTGAGACGTTGCTGCTTCGTTCAGCCCTGCTGCGCCGCCGCTGCCGTCCCCATCCCATTGCCGCTATTCCTTTCCCTTTGTTGCCATCCCCTTCACTGTCCCCTTGATCAACTTCCTCTCCAAAAACTAGCTAGCCAATCAGCGCTGGGGCCGTCAATCGACAAGAGTGCCAAATCACCTACTATCACTATATAATGTAAAAAATGTAGTTACCGTGTTTTCCTTCTTTACTGCTCTGGTATGTAAGCATTATCTATTGCTATTCCATTATTGTTACCAATTGGGTTTTACTATCATATTATCATTCTTACTGGCTTTCTGTTTCTCCATCTCTATTATGAGTCACTTTTGGGGGTAACATTTTACTGTTACTCATATTTTTGAACTTATGCACCAGTTAATTACAATCATATTTTTCTAATAATCAAGTTTTGTCAAAAATTTTAAAACATCTTCAAAAAAAATTTTTCTTTATGGTTCTCTTTTTTGCTTTTGTTGTCCGTCTTCTGCTCTTTACATCATAAGTTTTAGTTTGGTTTATTTCTTGTTTTATACTATTGCTTAAAAGTTTTTACAATTATTCTTTTGCCTCTTTTTTGCATTTCAAATAATTCTAGAAAATATAAAACTCTCTGCTAAATTTGATGATTTCGGTAACTTTGCTTAACCTGTTCCGCATCTTTTGCATTAGTTTCAGCTGCGTTTAATACCAAAATCTTCACGACATTGAGTGCGCCATTTGCGGATGCATTATGTAACGGAGTTCTCTGAAAGAACACCGATAAACCAATTTTAACACCCAGTTTCTGCAAGATCACTCAAATTCAAAACTCTCTGAGCATTTTTGATGGCTTTTTTAAATCAATTTTTGAACCTCCCTCACTTTTTTTTAAAAAAACTGGTTTTGGTCAACATATGGCAGAGATATACTTGTTTTCTACCAGCCTTTTACCAAATTAAATACTTTGCAGCTATAAATATTTCAGTTTTTTAAAAATCGTAGCATAGAAACAGCAACAAGCGTCACATTAAGCACCTCTTTGTAATACAGTACTGAATGTTCAAAAAGAGAACGCACCTTTTTGTCATCTTTTACATTAATATCGGCTCCACTTTTAAGGAGTATTATAACAACCTCAGCATGTCCATTTTGAGATGCAAGGTGCAGCGCGGTGAACTAAATAAAGCTTTTCAAAAGCAACTTTTGTCAACCTGACCAAAAAGTAAGCAATAAAGAAAGTTTTTGTTTGCAACTTTTAGTAAATCTTTTCTGTTTGATGAATGGGAAGTAGAAAGAATTTCAAAAAAAGAGCTACAGTAATTGAATAAAATTTTGTTTTTTTATATACTTCAGAGTTACAAACTCCCGGGTCGTTTTGAAATGTTCTTCGCTACAAAAATGCAAAAGGGTTTAAGCTTTATATCTTTTTGTAACATAATAATAAACATTCGAAGAACGATCACACCTTTTTGGCACTTGCTGCTTTAACATCGGCCCCATTCGCGAGAAGTATTTTGACAACCTCAGCATGTCCATTTTGAGATGCAAGATGCAGTGAATTGAGCTAAATAAAATGATAGTTTTAAACTTTCGTATTTTTATAGTGCCATTCAAGAAAAGAGTGAAAACGACAAACTTAGTTTGTGGCTGTAGCTTCAAAAAGTTTTTTGTTTTATTTAAAAAAAAGTCACTGGCACTTAGTCATAAGACATTCTGAAAACTCTAGAGAGTCAAAACGTTTAACTAATTTTCCACTTCATAGCAACCTTTTAAATTATACTTTAAATACCCTTCTACACTGCTTCATACTGAAAAATCATAAATAAAAACGTATGGATGTGTTCGTCATAGCTATAACCAAGATTTAAATGCAGCATAAAGGGTGTGTTTATGAGGTAAGACAAATTTGCTGGGAGACATTTAGCTAAAAAAATAACAAAGAATGTGAAAAAGCAAGATGAAAAAGTGAGATTAAAAAATTCTCAGCTTTACAAGTTTCAAATTAAAAACTGTTCAATACGTTATGATGTTGCTGGAATGAAAATCCTGTGTTCCCCAGAATCATTATACTTGTCTTATGATAAATGTAAGTTTTTAGCCTTTGGTAAGTGTGTCTAATCTATATCCACTAAAAGCCTCTAAAAAAGCTTTCCTATTCCCTGTAACAGTTACTTATTACTCTACATTCTGCTCTTATTTCTTCTGTTACTACCATCTTGTTTTTTCAATAAAATTCAGTTAGAAAATTCGACTTATCTATACATCGGCCAGATCATACCACCTTAATTGGAGTATTTTGACCTGCGTTCCACTCTTTTAACTAATTTTAAAGTTTTTTAATATATTCAAAAAAAGTTTTAACCTTTATGCTATTTTCTGCAGCATTGCTGCTTTTTTCACTAGCTGTATCTCAACTACTTTGGTATACACGTTTGTAAACGCAAGATAAAATAGTATTAATTCAGCAAAATGAGAAGGTATAAATATAAACATTGAAGTCGTGCTCAAAAATAAGCTACTCACATAAGTATGCACTTGCAGTCTCGTATTAAAACTCAACGAGATGTAATTAAAAACTATAAGATTTGAGAAAAGAAGTGACAAACAAGCAAAGCAAAACAAATCTCACTGATTTTGAAGATCCCAAGTTTTGAATTTTACTGTTACTCAGAAGCATCATCTATAACCAAAAACTATTGACACCTTAATCTTCAACTTTACACAGAATAAACTACAAAGTGGTTGAAAAGGAATTGCACCTTCATTTTGTCTTCTGCTGCGACATCAGCTCCATCCTCAAGCAACATTTGAACTATTCTGACATTTCCGTTCTGAGACGCAACGCGTAATTCTCTCGACTAAATTGAATCGAAATTTTAAGAGATAAATACTGTGGAAGTGGCCATATATTGAAAATTAAATTGAAATAGTTTTTTGTTTTTTGACAAACATTTTTCTAGACCTAGTTAGCAAAACTAGAAAGAATCTGAAGAAAATGGAAAAATGCATGAAGCAAAACAGTTTTTTCAAATCTTAAAGAAATGAGGCGGCAAATTTGTTCCTTATAAAATAGTATCATTAACCGCAATAAGAAAATCACGTTCCAAAGCGTAGAATGTCTGAATAAGACCATTTTGTTCAAAAAAGCATTTTTCTCCACAATAAATTGTTAAGGCGGGTTATTCTACATCAAAAAGCACGTTTCTTTTTATTCCAATTGACAAAACTTCTAAACTTTTTAATCCCTTATGCACATTGAAAAACTTGAGTTCATTAAAAACTTTAAAAAATAGACCATAAAAATTACACTAACAGCAAAATAAGACGTTGATAAGTTCAAAGAAATGTAGCTTTTGCTAAAGAAGGGCATGTACAATAAATTGTAATCTTATTCAGTTATTATAAAACTTTGTAGTTCTTTGTAATCTATGATAATATGTTTTTTGCAGATTCAAAAAAAATCATATAATTTCTTATTGATAAAGCACATAAAAAATTGCGACTGAAAAAAAGTTTAATATACCTTGTCAAAAAATACCACTTTTCAGATTTCTTTTTTAAAGTCGTTTTCCAGATATATTTTTTCTAATATCAGAACTGTATTTCGAGGTTCAACAAATTTAGAAATTACAAGACGAAGAGTGAATGCAGTAAGATTCAATGCTATTTTTAATGCTACAATTATTGGTCTTTGTAACTTTTTTTTCTCTTTCAATTTTTTTGAGAAGATAAGTTTTGTTTAATGAATGATTTTTTCTAGTTAGAGAAGAAACAAAACAATTTAAACATTTCTTGATTTTTATTTCATTTTTTCCCACCTTTTCTATCTTTCACTCCATACTTTTTGGTATTTGATAAGAGAATGAAACATTCTTTGCTTTTTGTAGCAGAATGTCAATCAATCGCCACTAGTTGCTTATCTTAAAATTCCTTGTTCGCAGAGCTTCTATTAAACATTACTGACTTCTAGATCTTAAAACCATTTCGAAAATTATCAACTTTTTTTTAGGCTGGCAGTGTTTGTTTCAAAATGAAACTGCTGAAAGTTTTAGAAGAAAATGTCATCTACAGTTAAAGCTATAAAATAAAATAAACTGCTAGAAATAAAAAGACCTTGTCTTCTTCCATCATTTAGACACTAAGACGATGATACCCAGTGAGTAGCAAGTTGTTCAACTGCCTTTATTTGAAATGCTTCTTGTCGATGCAGTTTAAACCCTGCAAAAGAGTTGTGTTTAGAACAACAAATTGTCTGGAAAAAACTAAGCAGAAAGTGTTTTAAATAATATTAGTTAGAATTCACTGTAGTGAAAAATTTGTGCCACACGAAGTGGCAAAGTGTTGCTGTTTGGAACCCAACACAACAAACACTACTGCTTATCACTTGCTGCTGATTCGAAGTCAGCAGAAACGCGACGCGAAAGTCATATCAGTAGCACGAATTACGAAATCTTGTAGTGATACTGTGCCACTCAGGCAGTGCTCACTTTTACATTGCGTGCGAAAGCGGATGTTGGTCAGTCAGGCGTGACTTTAAGGAACCGTACGGATACTTGCAGGGATCGTTGAGCTTTTGGTTGGTCCAGCCAAGTCAACACTTTTAAGTTCCTAAAACTGATAGCAAAAATATGTCAGTGTTTTGTTTTTACAGTTTACGTAGGTCTAGCTCTCTTCAGTGTATTATAGTT